GTTCTACAGAAAATTATAAACAACCGATAACACATTTTTTTATAAAATACAATAGTTACGACCCTCTCACATAAATAATGTAAACTATATCGGTTAGGATAATTCTGTAAAATATCCATTTGGAACCTTTGAAAACTTGTAACTGTTGTAAAAACTGACAATTAAACCTACTGTAATAGGGACTTTATAATGAAAATTTTATTTTGTTAGTTGAGGGTTGATATAAATGGTCTGAGTCTGGTTGTAGTTTGTCTCACAAAACACCTTTATTCTCTGTTCTATGGTTTGTCGTAGTTGTAAAGCTATTGTAGGAGATTGAATGGTAGTAAGAGTTCATCGCAATCAATGTTATTCGGAGTACTAAGATGTACTTTTATTACTTCATTTTGTGGGATATGTTTCCATTGTGATTGTAGTTCAGAGAGTCTTATAGCATTAATTATACACATCGATTTTGTTTGTACTTAACACAAAAGGTGGGAATTTTTTATAGATTTTGAAATTGATTGATGCTATACACACGTTCTTGAGAAAATTTCATTGAATGTAATTAAATGCAAAGCTAACACAAAACACAAGTATATTCATTATTTAATTTTTATTTTAAAAGAGTAAAGATCCCTATATTTTTTCCACGCTCCGAGCTGTCCAAAGCTCATGCTGCCAGTTCTTTCTGGCAACTACACAAGTTACCAGATATAAAAGGTTAATAGCGTTAGGCTTTGGCACTATCCTTAACTGTCACTAGTTACGTGACCAAACCCATCACTATATAACAGACAAATCCTACTGATCAGCAAAACAAATTTATAGGCTTCCTATTAGTTCTCGTTACTTGAGTCACTACCAGAACGATCACCAAACACTACAACTAATCCTATCTATCCGTCAATTGCACTCTATTGATCTGGTGGGTTTGATGTCTGTCTGGGACCATAATTCATGCAATTCACAAATGATTGAATGATTTATCACCAGCGCATTAAAAATTTTTAAGCTTATCCTCTACCTGTCGACTCATGGTGCTTCAAATATCTTAAAGAAGTTGCGCAAATATGTCAATATCAGTCAAAATTGGTTAATTACGGGCCTTGGAAAATATAAAAAGGTTTCCATACTGACAGTTGCTTAACAGTTTTAATACCTACACCCAAAACGTCGAATATTTTGCAACACATATTGCAATACCTTTTTAATTAAATAGCTTTGAACGTAAGTACGTAAGAAGGCCTTAACGCTCTTAAGTCAAAATAAATAATGACAAATTTCTCGATTATTTGTTGGATTACATTTGCATGCGTTTAATAATTCAATAAAATTTCTCAAGAGCGTCTTTGATAGCAACCATCAATTTTAAAATATATAAAAGTTTCCCACCCTTTGTGTCAGTACAAGCAAAATTGATGTGACCGTATATATGCTATGAGACTCTCTGAACTACAATCACACTGAACTCAACACAATGGAAACGTATCTCATAAAATAGAGCAGTAAGTTCTTCCTTAAGTGTCCCAACTAGGCTTAACCTGTACTATGGAAACGAAAATGTTAATAAACATACTTACAATTTCTAAATACGTATGTATTATAGATAAATATAGAACATTAGACAGTTTTACATTAGTATAGACAGAAATCGATCACAGCAAATATAACGCATAGATAAGTATAGGTCGAAACTTAACATCATACACAAACATAACACTGCTATGTGGGAAATTTGATATCATTTGCATTGAATCGTTTTCCATAGTTCTAGGTACATACAAATGTATAGGTGTATATTTATGGGAAGCACAATGCCACTATCTTGATTTATTCAGACATGTATCTGTTTGTAAAGAGACTAGCCAAGAGCGCGCTAGGCAAGCATCTCATCGATGCCTCCCGCAACTCTGTATCGCCCATATTATATTATTAATATCCACTAGTCGACGTTACTAAATGTGTGATAGTGACAACTCCAAATTTTAGTAGGAATTTCTTTATCACAACTTTTTTGTTATATTTTTTTACGTATGGAAACTCCCATGGGCTGTCGCTCCACTGGGGCTTGTGTGTCAGAATCGAACCGACTAAAACCACACGGTGTGTAAACTGCGTCTGAAATAGGTAGGATACGATAACAGCTTTTGATAGATGGCCTTACCTGTCACCCAAAGGCCTGCACTTTGCAGGACGGACGTCATTCAGCGACCTCTGGCGCCTCAGCCGCCTGCAGTCACTGGCCCGTTCCCGGGCCTACCAGGAGAGTTCTAAGCCACTTCAAGCCGCTCCGCCCACTCCTTTTCTAGTATTACTTACTCGCAGAAGGAGGTGGTGGAGTTCCACGCGCTCTCACTCCTTACCATGGCCGCAATCATGGTCGCGGTTCTATGATAGATCTAGAGAATGCTCACCGTGCCATGTTTACAGCACACAGTCGTAGCTGATGTTCCACTAACGGCCCTAACATCGATGCCTGCGGAACGCAGCACGACATTTCTCGGGTAGATGACAGCTCTGGACCCCTCCTAGTGTCTGTCCTTCAAAAGCGCGGCACAACCTTCGGGGAAAAACTCCGTCCGCCACGCGAGGACGTCACCTCCTCGCGGTGAGTGGATTGGTCCCGTCCTCCTGAGACCACTCTCAGGGCATCATGAGGAGCTGAAAGCGTGTAACGGCTGGTAGCGAGAAATCCTGTCCGATGACTGCAATGAGCGCCCGACGCTACTTTGATCAGTATGTGCTGAGCTGATTTCTCTCGCTCCCGATTGCTGAGTGGTGACATGCGCAACTCAATTTACTCCTAGCGATCGACTGCTGGTACTTCCCTAAGCAGACGTGCCTAGACAGGACCTGGGTCAGTCGGGAGGAAAGGGTCTCGTGCCGCCACCTGCCCACTCGACATTGTCCGGTTGGAGCGCTTACGCGGTACCAAAGCCAGTATGTGAAGCTTCTAGCTGGAGGGACCAACGAGTCTTGTGGCTGGCGAGTGACCTTACGCCACTCATTTCCGCCTCTAAATCCCATGGGAGATGCTAGAGGAGCGCCCTATTCTTCGCGGTCAGAGCTTTCGCCCACACCGGTGCACAGTATAGTGCCATTAACTAGACAACCCTCATCTATAACGACAACTTATAGAGTAATCTCAACTGCTGCTACAGTTGTAGCAACTGTATTTTTGTGCACACGCACTAGCCTCAATCTTCGTAGTCAGCAGAAAAGGAAAGCAAATAAGTAGTAGCAATTACGTAATATGAACCCTAAACATCTCTATATAATTGAAGAATTGTTTAAATTGTGTAAGTTTGTGCATACTTACTGACACAGCTTTATGTTTGGCATATTTTGTTCTTTGTTAAAATATTCTGTGCGTGCGACCCTTTATGACCTCGCGCCCTTAGACACGTGCTTACTTTGCCTTACGGATAATCCACCACTTGGCCTGTCCATTGAGCAGCTGAGCAATTTAAAAGAATTACGCAACAGAGCATTAATCAATCTTTTACGCGCCCACGCATACAGAGACGTCCTTAATGTTACATTCCAACCCTAGCGTAGCATATCGTAAAAGTATTAAGGTTGTAAAAATTATAGATGAAATGCAAGAATGATAAACGAGAGGAAATGGAATTCTCGGATTATTTTTTAACCTACCTTTACCCTAAGTTTATCTGATATAAGATGACCTCACCACATAAAAACTGTAAAATAACGTTATTCCTTTTTAGTATTCACAAACAATTTTTATTAGAAGTTCAACATAGAAGCGGTAAAAAGTTGACGATCTTAAAACGGAATTAAATATTCTAAAGACGCTGTTTTTGGGTTTTAAATTTACAAGTATAACGGAACGTAGGTACATATTGTACACGTATGTTAAAAGTTAGTCGTTATTTTTGTTTAGTACGTTGGAATTGATTTATTGATTAAATAATATGTCAAACACATTAACTTGATAGCAATACGTCATTTATGCGATTTTATTCAAATGATTATTTCGATAGATAAAGATCCCTACACACAATGATTAAAAAATTACCTTTTAATATCTGGAACGGTTAGCCAGTCGTAAGCCCGACCGATTATACTTGCAGAAGTAGGTATCCCTGAGAGGTGCGGTGGCGCAACGTGTTTTGTTCTTGAGATCGGTTAGGATCTCCGTACTATATGGTGTCGTTGTATACTTAACAGTATGTCTGAATCTTTAGGGGTTCTTGCTAGCTCTTGTTTTAATCGGTTCAAATTTGAAATACAACTTCGGGCTCGGCTCTGAGCTTTGAGCTGATAACTCATCTTTTATATGTTTTCCTGAATAAAAAAATTCAAAGGCAGTCAAAAAATCAACTGTTATAATAAGTATTAATATTCTTAGCATTGTATTACATGATTCAAAGCCTTGACACGCGAAAATACAGAAGCAGCAGGAATACAAAATACAGTAAGAACTAGGCCGTGGTGCAGTCAAGTACTAATGTAATAGTGTTCTTCTGTTTTACTTCAGCTTTCTCATATTGTCCTTCAAAAGTGAGAAGGAGCCTTGATTCACTACTTGTGCATTCGACAACTGAGGGCCTAGTATGAGTTTATTTTAGATGGACTCGATATACTTTACTCGTTGTACTTAAAAAAAAAACCTATAAATATGTACATGGGTAGTAACAAACGAAACCCGGCATTCTAAGTGCTAGTTAGCCTTTGGTATATGCAAATAAACACAAATAAGTCTCGTATTGGTCATCCGAGGCTATTCTAATGCAGCTGTAACCTTGAATAACTAGACAACATTTATCAGCCTAAAAATAACCAATACCTTTAAGTTTCTTTGTTCCTTCTTCTCATTATAAATTAATTAGGCATAGAAAAAAGCTACAGCACGTTTTATTACCAAATCTAAAAAAAGTAGTAAATATTTTTTTATTATAAATAGCTATTAGTTCTCTGTCTTCCATAGCCAGTGTTTGGTTTACATATAGGTACACTCCCTAATCTATAAATTGGTACAATTTTCCTTTGCGATGTACTCAGGATTTTCCCATTTTTATTTCCAAAAGTTCCCGATGGTTGGTAATAGGCTTGTCTCCTACTACGTGTGTGGAACAAATTTTTTAAGATACCTTTAAGTTTCTTTGTTCCTTCTTCTCATTATAAATAAATTAGGCATAGAAAAAAGCTACAGCACGTTTTATTACCAAATCTAAAAAAAGTAGTAAATATTTTTTTATTATAAATAGCTATTAGTTCTCTGTCTTCCATAGCCAGTGTTTGGTTTACATATAGGTACACTCCCTAATCTATAAATTGGTACAATTTTCCTTTGCAATGTACTCAGGATTTTCCCATTTTTATTTCCAAAAGTTCCCGATGGATGGTAATAGGCTTGTCTCCTACTACGTGTGTGGAACAAATTTTTTAAGATTAAAAAAAGGTTGAAAAAATAAAGTTTTTTTATACGCCTCTGTCTCCCTTCGAGGACAAATGTGTAAATGTAAAAAATAGAGGTGAACTACATTACCGATGAACTATTTGTAGCATATCTGCGGGGTGTCAGGGACGTCGCGTCGTAACGAATACTGAAATAGTGTATTCAGACCATGATTCTAAGTCGAAGGTCATTGTAATTTTCTACCGGAAAATTCATCTTATTTTATTTTTTTATTATTTTTTGTTAAAAATGATGAAAAATTATATCACAATGAGTAAACAGCACATTTTACCGAAACAATTTAATAAAATACCGCATGCCATACCGCCAACTTGTGTTAGTGTGCGTAGACTGTTTGCACGGTATACACATTTATTACTTTTGTGCGATACGTACGAATGACCTTAACCTTTGACAGCTGATTGCATAAAAAGTTTAATTTTCGTCTCAGAAGGATGGTCTAAATTTCAGAATTCGTTACGACGTCCCTTACAGCTTATATATAGTGTGTGCATATATTATATGTAGTGCAAGTGCAAAGTGAATAGGTTAAAAATGTTCAGAATAATTGTCTTCACTGAATGAAAATTTAATGCTTGGCATTATGCATATAGAGATATATATTTGTCACAACCATCTTTTATACATAATAAAAAAATACATGTAAAAACCTTTTTTATATTAGCCTTTATTTTTTTGTCTACAGGGTCACTCTGAGTCGAAAGGTGCAAAAAAGCGAGAGAAGAGCGCAGGGGGTAACGGTAACGGCAAACCGAGTCGAGGAGTGGCCACGTCATTTGGCTTTCGAAGACGTCCAGCTTCGTCTTCCAGGGCAGACGACAACTCGCGCCGGAAGCAAAAGGCACAGGACAAAAATGGGAATGGAGGTAAAGAACATAAAAAATATAGAAAAGTAGAAAGTTAAGGCACAGAAGGAATAAATTACATTATTTTCGACTCACTTATTGGCGTAAAGCAACCAGACAAATGCAATTTTCATATTCTGTATTGTTGGAGAAAAGAAAATTTGGAAAAGAGCGCGAAAATAATGATGATGGTGATGGTTTTCCAACTACCTTTCTATTTTTTTTTTGAGTATTACTTCAATCTTGGAGTAACTGCTTGACTTTTAGCTTTGTGAGCTGGGGAAGGCTGGCTTTATATTCTTTATTTTGGTAGAAAAGTTTCTGAAGAGTGTATTTTATTAGATAATCCAGCAAATTGCTAGTTAATAAGATTTTTACCTTTACTGTTTTTCGAGTACCAATTATTTTATCACAAACTTATTTGTTTAAGAAGCTTCAGTAAAAACTAATTACATGTTCTTAATTAGTTTTAAAACTGTTTCAGGTAAGTAATTTACTCTGTCTTTATTTAACTGTAGGAGTGTCTATATTTTAGTCAACCAATCGTAAAATGAATATAAAACATTAAAACAGAAACAGACATTAACTTTTTATTGTGTTTTAGAATGTTTATTATTTGTCTAGGAATTACTTATTCTAAACATTTAATCTACCTTCGATCGTTTCTCGTTGTCGCACACTAACACATAATACATAGCTTTAACTTGTTGCTTTCTAGAAACAGATAACCTACTAACAAAAAAATTACTTTGATTTAGATATCGAAGAAACTTTTGTGAATTATGTATGCTATTCATTGTGCCGATATTAAGTCTTGAACGATTTTATAGGATAGATGAAGTACACGGGTAGAATATGATTCTTAATTTATTTTATTTATGTCTCATTATCGATCACCGCTACAGTATTTCTTTGTACAGATATGGATGGACATAGACATTTTGATATGACAAAAGGTGGTCTTATCAATCGCGGCGATATCTAACAGACAACCTTTATACGGATATAGTCAAATCTAATTTAGGGTAGTCTATGGTGGACTTTAATAAAACACTCGTGAATTATAATATATAAACATAACATAAATTAATATTAATAATATATAAACATAAAGTTACTACATACGTTTGTAGTATACATACTGCTTACATACATAAGTACATGCATACAGAGGTCCTTAAATGCACAAAACGTTTTTAACCTAAATATTTTTAGCTATTATCGATTAGCAAAATCGTAATCCTTCTTTAAAAGCCCTTAAAGAAAATTATAAATGTGAAATTATTTTCGTTGCTTTGACTTTCATTCAAGCATGAAGATATTACACGGACAATATAATTTCAATATAACATTAAACGTTTGAAAGGTTTAAAGTGGAAATACATTTGTCTCTGACACCAGAGGGTTCCAGCGATTCGAACCACAATTTACTAGGACCGGGGTCCAAGTTGCCGGATCATTTGATTTGATTTAATTCCGGTGACTGGGACCATCGCCATAAATGAATGCAAAATCTATTGTTCAAACCAAAAATAGTAGAATATGTAGTAGTTTACGAAAAACCCCTTTGATTCAAAAATATAGATAGATAACTATATGTTACATATAATTTGTTTATAATATATAATATTAAAAAACGCCTTTGATAAACGTTTTTATTATTTAAAAATTACATTATAAAAACAAAATTGAATCATGCTAACATAAATCAACAATTTACAAACGATTAACAACAAGTACTTAAGTAGTTGTCTGTTATATGACCTGTTACATGACCTCTGAAGGACGATGGTTGGTTGTACATCATGTAGAAGAGTAATTAATGCTGAAACTACAAAATTCAATGGCTTGAAAATGTTATGTTCGCAAGTACTTCTAACACTTTTGGAGAACCACATAAAATAAAGAACACTGTCCAATAACAGTAACAATAACCATTTTTTCGTTTGACTGCACAATTTTTGGCTTGAACAATAGCTAGTTGCCGAAAGAAAAATATTCAAATTAAATGATCCGGCAACTGGGACCGCAGTCCTAGTTATTTGCAGTCCGAATCGCCTTAACCCTCGGCACCATGCCAGTGAATTTGCTGGAAAAAAAAATTGTAATGACTGTATTTCTATGTAAGTAGTGGTACTAATTACACCTAAATATACCGATATTATACATATACTCGTAGAACTCGTTTCCTAATTGCGTAATACCTACCTAATTGTTAAACAGCTTTTATTTCCTGACATTATGAGCGTATTGCACTGGACTAGGTCACGGTCTGTAATAACAGGTACTATTTAGCCTTAGGACTTCATTCACTGTTTATTAAGTAGAAGTCACAAGTACATTGTAAATTATTGAAAAAAACATCTACTAATCGTCTAATGATTTATTTCATATAAATTTAAATGTTTCTGTTAACTTTTTACATTTTTAATTCGCATTTCTAAATTGGAAAATTTAAATGGGACCACAAAAAACTTTGAGTACAACCAATTCAAATAAATCGTTTTAAAAATGGCAAAGTTACCGCGTAGCTTATAAAAAATATATAATATAAATAAATATAATAATATTACGTATAATTTTTTTATATATATAAAAATAAATATATACATACATACATACAAGCACTATCGGGTAACAAAACTAACACACCCAAACGTAACTAAAAGACAGAAAGTAGTCCATATTTTAACACCTGACATGGCTCATCTCGATTAAATCGTTGATTACATACATATATAAACAGCACTAAAAGAAAAAATCGTCACAATAAATGTAAACGAACCTTCCAATAAGCAACACTATCAAGATTTTACGATCGAATCGAGTGTCAAGATAATCGATGCAATTTAAAGTCCATGAAACGAAAGTCGCAATACTACACCGTTTATGGTGAGACAGGCATGATATAACTGCTTAAGTGCTTTCATAATATGTGGTACTGAATATTAAATACTTCCGAACAGGTTCGTCAGAGGACTTGCGACCTGAGGAGGTGTTATCCGGTCGGTCCACACCTCTGGCCAGACCACGTAAGGAAACTGCTGGACAACCTTTACGGTCAAACAGGTACTTTACTTACATTCGTATGTCTTTTGAAAGTAGAAAGTGTTACAATAAGGTAAATAATATAGTACAGACGGCTTATATTTTAATTTCAATTTCGAAAAGGACGTATTTTATATTTCGTGTATATCGCATCAATTTGAATGTTTAGGCCGAAAATGACTGTAAAAGACATTCCTCATACAAAAAATAAATATTTACTGTAATGCAAAAATATAATTTAAATTATGGACATTGAAAAGAATATCCAAAAAGAAATTATAATAGTGACAGATTTATTTACTTATTAATAAGTACTACCACATCATACATATTATACTTGTACATCATATATATATATATTATAAAATATAGCTAATTTTGACAATATGTGGCATTATACCTGACTGTATGACAATTACGGTGTACATAGCATTTACTGTAATGTAGTAGTGTAGAAATAGTAAACTAATGACAATCGAAACAAAAAAAAACAGAGAAATATTCTTAATAATAATAAACTATTTGAAGTAATACTATTCTAAATCTAATTTATACCTAATTAACATTTGTTTAGGGTTGAGGTGGTTGATTTAAAACATTTGAGTTTATACTTTGACTCAATCCGTTTTATGACAATTAGTTCATTTGTATTCTTTTAACAAAACAGTTTTGTAAAACCGTATGAAATATATAAGGTGGTATATTATAAAATAATTATAGTGTAAACATAACTACGAAATTATGGATCATACGGAAAGTGTTTTGCTATTAAATATTTTGAAGGCGTTTGTATGAAAAAACTACTATTAGAAGAGATCTAAATACATCAACTAGACACTAGTTGAGCTGGTTTGATATTCAATATACATAGGTACAACTAAAGAATTTTAATAGTTACTGTCAATAATACATTACATCTATGTATTATCTCATTGTGTAGGTTCGGTTTCAGGCAACAGCACACGAAGACGGCCAAGGTATCTGACGTGAGCTTGCCCGCAGAGCCGGCCTTCGGCGCCACGCATAAGGATAAGGAAACTGCCATCAACAACAACGGTTTAGGTATGTATACAAAACGTACTGACGATGAACTAGGTTCGAGCACAAATTTGTACATCGGAACATACACACTCACGTCTTTATTGCCGAAAGGGGTAGGAGGCGATGTAATACCTACATTTTGCCGACTGTCTTTTATTCTCACTTACGTAATACGGGGCTAGCCTATTGAGATCAACGGGCTTTACGTATTTCGAAATAAACACATTTATATATTTCTAAATACAAACATATTAGAGATAAATAACACCCAGACATTAAACAAATGATCGCAATCATCACACAATATTCCTACTGGATAGAAATTAGAATGAACCCTGACTTAGCAGTTGGCATCGCTAACCAAAAGATCAACAGGCCTGTCATTTAGTACTAATGTGATTTTTTACACCATTGTCTACCTTGTACTCACCAAAGAGATTTGTACTCACAAAATGAGTGCACAACACTTTGTACTTGAGCTGTTCTTAAAGGGGAAGTAAGCAGAACTTGAAAGATTAAAACTAGTGTAGTTATTAAAATGACAAGATACATTTGCTTCACATCATCATTACATCAACAGCCTTTAATAGTCCACTGTTGGACATGGGCCTCTCCTTAGAAAGGAGGTTTTGGCCTTTAAGCCTTGAAGTACAAATTAGGACTACTGACAGATGTGTACAAAATATTAGTTAGACACCGAGTTGCTTCGTTTATGTATTACGAAGCCACAACTAGGGTGTAACCGGCCACGCTTAGCTGTGGCACATCGAAATTGCATTGATGAGAAGTGAGGAACAAAATTCAGAATAAACCCTTTTTTAAAAAAAAGTTGAACCGACTTCAAAAAACACCGACAAAGAGCACTAAAAATTAAAAAATAATTACAAATCCAAGTAAAAAACTATAATAAGTACCCTCAATGTAACAGGTAACATTATAATACCAATAGTCCCTTCTAGTCTGTTTGAAGTCGGTGCCAAGCCAAATAGGTGCTTGATAGGCATGGTAGAATGTAGCGCGGCAGCTGCAACAGTCTTCATGCTGCGCAAAACATGATGAATGAGCTAAAGTGGACGCACATCTCCAATTATATTATTATTTTGAATTCTTTAATAAGTAGTTGATAAGTTTGCGCACGTAATTGATCTGGTTGGTCTTTATTAATTAACAAAATATTCGATGTTTCATTCGAATTATTTTGAATTCTTAATTTTTCATTGTGCTAATATAAAGCTGACATAGACCAGTATTACTTATTGTACATCGAGCTTGGCACCGACTTCAAACAGACTAGAAGGGACTATTGGTATTATAATGTTACCTGTTACATTGAGGGTACTTATTATAGTTTTTTACTTGGATTTGTAATTATTTTTTAATTTTTAGTGCTCTTTGTCGGTGTTTTTTGAAGTCGGTTCAACTTTTTTTTTTAAAAGGGTTTATTTTACCATTTTTAGTGTAGGATATGAAAATGACATTGGCGTCCAAACTGATCAAGATCAGCTTAAATTCTTTTCTAAGAAACAGTCAAATTCTTGTGAGTTGCAACCGAACAAAATAACTTCCGATTCAATTGACACTGATCTCGAAGGTGAAGATAGGGAAGCTTTAGTGAGACTACTCAACAAATATGCTCAATATTTTATAGAAGGAGTTCCAACTAGAAGGGTTAATACTAGTATGTTAGAAATTAACCTAGTTGACCCACCCAAAATTTAAGAGTTTTTTTTAGAACTATTTTAATAAATTAAGTATAAAATTACTTACAAACGAAATGCGATGCCATCCATAGCAACTAAACGTCTATCCGAATTATTTTAACAAGATAGAATACAAAATTTCAACCTTTTCTTCTTAATACAACGAAAATTACTGTGGTGACATAAATACTGCAAATTCTCTGCGCATCACATCGCGCAGTCTCTGACAGTTGCCATGGTTTGTTTGGCTAAAGAAATACTCGTAGCTAAAACACGTTGTCCGGGCTGTCAAATTCCCAATAATTGTGAGGGTTTCACTCGATTTCTCTAGGATCCCATTATCAGATCCTGAATTGGTGGTAATGGGACCAATTCGGGAGCATACCCTTTCGATTACAAAAAGAATTTTGAAAATCGGTCCACAATTGACGAAGAAATCGCGTAACAAACATACATAAAAAAAAAAATACAGACGAATTGAGAACCTCCTCTTTTGTGTTTTGGAAGTCGGTTAAAAAGAAAACATACTGTCGAATCAAAAACCCTCCTTTTTTGATGTTGGTTAAAAATCGACTAGCATGAAGCTCCTAGTCGAGACGAATCAAATGAGCACAAACACGGCGGAATTGCTTTATTTTATTACAGAGTTCCCATGGCTATTTACCGTCTCCATCATCAGACCCTGAATATCACATAGGATCGGAGTCCTTATTAATTAGACTCAAACACATTCAAATTCGATGGTATTACATAATTTTGTTACAGAGATCCCATACTCCTAAACCATTCATCATCAGCTTCATCATCAGCTCAGCAACATCAGATGGTGACCATTAGATGCAAAAATCTACATAGATTAAGATAATTTCTGATAAACAGTGTATATGCCTACAAAATTTGAGGGTTTCCCTCGATTTCCCCAGGATCCCATCATCAGATCCTGACCTGGTGACAATGGGACCACCTCTGACGTATGACCTACCAAATAAAGAAAGAATTATTCAAATCGGTTTATAATTGCCGGAGTAATCGCGTAACAAATATACAAAAAAAAAAAAAAAAAAATACTGTCGAATTGAGAACCTCCTCCTTTTTTTGAAGTCGGTTAAAAAACAATGGATAAAAACCGTCCTTGAAGCGGGTTGTATTTTGGGTCAAAATGTTAGTTCAATCGGTGCAAAACTTATTGAGGTTTTGAAGCGAACACAAACCAACTAAATTTTTTCATATATTAGATAAAATCACTCGACACATCTTTTGCCCGTCCGTCTGATACTAAACTAGGCAGAGCCTGTACAATGATAACTAGACCGCTAAATATATACCTATCGTAGATGTGTGCACCCTCACACGGAACGGAACATATAATTGTGTTCATCACACAATGTACTTATCCGGGATGGGAATCAACGTACGACCTCTGACTTAACAGTCAGTATACTTACAGGTCAGTTGATTTAGATTTAGGTACTTCTATATAGGCCTACGCTGCCATAATAAAAGATTTATTTTTATTATTATTAAAACACAGTACATCTATATTGTACCTATGGTAAAACCAGAGACATCAACATGCTTTGCTTAACTTTAATAATATATTATCAACCTTACTATCGTAATGGCGGCTAGTAATTGTAATTATACTCTGATATAATTAGATATAGCAAACTGCTGCATGATATTGATGTGACAGACTACAATTACGGTATAAAATTTAATAATACTATAGTAAAGGCTTTCTAATGTCAAATTAAACCATTAAACCTTTAATTATGAATGAAGAATTGATTACATGAACTAATACTTCATAACACTTACTTGTAAGTGTTATGAATCACAGAATAAATACACTCAAATACTGTGAGGTATTTTCTCACCGTAATTATAGTGTATTTAAAGACAACAAAGGCTGTTCCTATTTTTAAATGTAAAATTTTCTATATATAGCTTACTGTGGCTATTAACATTAACCTAGATGTTTCTCTGTATGATTACATTTAAAATTATATGGATAGCGTAAAGCCTATAGATGGCAGCAGATGCATTGATTATCACAGTTCTCTCGATTTTCGTTTCGTAATTCAAATGCGTCCATTGGATGTATTTCTGCAGCCCACTGTATGTTTAATAAAAGGAAAATATATCTATCATACATACATACATCACAGTTATAACACAATCATATTAGGTGTAGAGTATGTTGTATAATAATATCCGAGAATTTGTCTTTTACGTAACACAGAAGAGCAATAAAGAAACCTAATATTAACTACTATATATGTACTATATATATGATAGCGAAATTACTATCTGTCTCTTATAATAATTGAAAAGGTAGACATTACCTTTCCAATTATTACATATTAAATAAAGAGACAGATAGCAGTTTCGCTATCATATTATTTTTCAATTACAGCCAAGAACTTGGCTAAAACTATTGCTTCTATTGAGCAAATTGACATTATGACTTTGCCAATACGTTGGCAGTCAATTCTTTTGACATTTACAAAAATTTAAATGTCATATCGAATAATTTATTTAATTATGTGATTGACATTACAAATAATTTAAATTGATTGATAAGACAATAGAGTCTACCTCTTGCAGTATTAACTTGTAAACTTATACAAAATTCAATCATAGTACATAAATTAGAAATAATAAAATAAATATAAAAATTTTGGTGCATCCAAATATTAGAGGAATGATGGGCAGAGACTTGGAGGTGGAATAGTTTATGAACTGCAATTCGTTTAATATTTTTTGTATTACTGAACATTGGCTTAAACGGGATCAGTTCATGTTCAATTTTGATCACCACCAGGTAGGCACCTCGTTTAGCAGAGATACAGCAATACATGGTGGCACTATGATACTCATAAATAAGAAACTTCAGCTTAAAGAGCGCCATGACACTGTTGGTCTATCAGTTTTTTTTTTTACCACTTTCACACGACGCCATCTAGTCCCAAACTAAGCATAGCTTGTTCTATGGGTTCTAGACAACTAATATAAATACATAAGTACTTTTTTTTTGTAAACACCCAGACCAAATCAAACATTAAATGTTCATAAACACAAATGATTGACTTGAGCGGGAATCGAACCCGCGGCCTTTGGAATAGCAGTCCGTTACACAAAGCACTACGCAATTCAGTCATCGAACCAGTTGGGTGAACAACAGAAATTACCTGTATAGAATTAAAAGGTTTCATAGAAGTATGTGTTTACAGACCTCCTTCAGCTACGTATGATTGTTTTGAACGTGTTATGGATGAACTCTTAGTTAAAGTAACAAAATCAGAAAAGATGATCATCATTTGTGGTAACTTTAATATTAACATAGTTCAAAGCACAAATAATTTCAATCATACAATCTGAAGAACTTGTTTTTGGAGCCTACACGAATCACTGCGACCACTGCCACATGTTTGGACAATATATTTACAGACATTATAATTAAGGATAAAAAAACATTAATCAATTACACTCTGACCATTGTATTGTCTGACCTTTTTTCAGAAAGTTATTACTTGACAGTAATAACTTTCTGAAAAAAGGATTGAGGTGATATCTAAAACTGCAAAGCTTTTTCTGAAAACTTTAAAAATATACTTAAAGCTGTTTTCAATATTTCAGTACTCTGCGTAGACAATAACCCTATTATAATAGCTTTTTTGAAACTTTTTTTTCAACATTTAACACCATTTTTACACCAACAATCCTAGGAGTTAAAGGTAACGCCACATTTAGTGAATGGGCCACCACTTGCTTACTCAAAAGTAGGAAAAGATTAAATAAGCTATATGATTGAGAGAAATTATAATAAAAGTGAACAGTTTCATAATTATGTTAAAGAATATTCGAAGCTGTGTATGTTGTTTAGGAAACTTTGTAAATTGGCTAAGCCCCGTTTTATAAGTTCAAAGATTAAAAGTAGCAATTATAAGATTAAAAAGATTATTAACAATGAAACTGTCAAAACCAATACTGTGATAATTAATGTAATCTGAATGCAAACAATATTTTTTTCAAATCAAATGCTGAGGTTGCCGCCGCATTTGATAACTGTTTTACCAATATTCCTGTACCAACTACTAAATCTTTGAACTCCTCACCATGCCTTTCAGAATCAATTTTTAAAGATAATGTTGGTAGGATTGATAGTGAATTTAAGTTCCAATATGTTTCACCCCTTGAAACTATTAAAACACTAAATGTTAAAAAAATAACAGATCTATGGGGAAATTCTGAATTAATTACTAAGACAATTATATCTCTTGTTGCTAATCAAAAAGTGGTGTATTTCCTAATCTTATTAAATCCAGTAAAATTATTCCCTTATTCAAATCTGGCAGTACATCTGACCCAACTAACTTTAGGCCTATTTCAGTGCTGCGAGTATTTAACAAAATTTTTGAAAAAATTATGTATGATCAATTACGAAGTTTTTTTCACCATAGACAATTTGGTTTTATTTTATAAAACTTTAAAAATCTTTTACTTTATAAAAAATATATTTGATGCCTGGGAGGATGCCCACGATTCTCTAGGTATCCTTTGAGATTTATCTAAAGCTTTTGATTGTGTTGTTCATGAAACGCAGATCAGGAAATTACCGCACTATGGTATCAAAACTAAAGCACTGGAACTTCTTGGTTATGAACCAAGAAGTTCCAGTTCTAGACACCGGGTCATTTTCTGATAGGAGAACCTGTGTTGCTCGCACCGGAAGTGAATTATGAAAATTCTAATCTTAGCACATTAAAACGCTGGCAATTGACTCAACGCCTAGTTCAAGGCTTCTGGCGCAAATGGTCTCGTGAATATCTTGTACAATTTCATCAGAGGCACAAATGGGCACATCAATCCGTGGAACCTAATGTGGGTGACGTGGTGTTAATAATGGAGGACGATTTACCTCCCGCAAGGTGGCTCTACGGTCTCATAGTTAAAGAAGCATGCTGGCTCGGACAAGATCACGAGGGTCGTTTCCCTACGTTGCAAGGGATCTATAATAAAGAGACCTGTTTCTAAATTGATTGTGTTGCCTGTTACCACTTAAATATTTTAATATTATTGCTTATGGTTAAGTTATTATTAAGTTATTACTCGTATATAAGTTTTGTTATGTATTTGTTTTTATTTTATAAGTTCTGGACATTTTGTCCATGGTGGGCGGTATGTTCAAGCCCATCTAGCGCGTGTACTAACTAGCTAGGACTAGGCATGGGCTTGAACATTTGGTCCTGTCGAGTCGGACGGACGCGGAGGCATAGAAACCAGGGTGGATTGCCCTAAAGTGCCACATAACCATCACCCTGCGTGGTGATTGGGGAACGAGCCGAAGAAGTGGTGCAGTTCAGTTGTGAAGTTGTGCAGTAGTGCAGTTCAGTTGTGAAGTAGTGCAGTTCAATGCTGGAGTAGTGGTGCTGGTGCAGACGTGCTGGTGCAGAAGTGCTAGCTCAGACGTGCTGGCGCGCAAGTGCTAGAACCGCTGTCCCGGAGCTGTGTACCTGGAATCGTGATCCTGTAGCCGTGGTCCTGGTACCGTGGTCTTGGTGCCGTGATCGTCGTGCACTGGTACTAGAGCAGACCGGCTAATACAAGGGTGCTCGTGAACAACATACGTCGCAACTTCGGGAGTTTCCTGAATCGCCGACAGAGGGCACTACTGGTCCCTTCTTGGAAACTGTGAGCGCGGTATACGTATCTCAGTGCATTGGTGCATATCGGAGTGCAGTGATTTGTCAAATACATTTGCTCGTTTGATCTAATTATGTTTATAAAGAAGGGCCTGATCAGTCCGATGGTAAGGGGTTACCGGTGTATATAAACACGGGGATAAAAAAAACATATATTCGCAGGGGCAGCTTTTCATTGAACGCGAATAAATTTAATGTCTTATCACTTAGCTATTTAAATGTTTTAATTCTATTTTAATAAGCTTTATATGTATTAACTTGGCTATCTACGTAACTGGATCTATTAACATAGTTTTCACCATCTTCAAGGAGTCCGAATAATTTTAACATATGCAAACATAGCGTGTGAATGTGTTTTTATGTTTATCATAAAAAACTTACAAATAAAAAAACCGAATCGAGAATTGCTTGCTGAAGCTGCTTAAAAAATTTCATGCTTATTAACATCTTTGTATTCCTCCGTCGAATTTACCTACTCCTTTTATTATCTTATCTTTGTAGAATATTCGCAGTGGTTAGCGCAGCTTTTTATGGCATATAAGAATTAGTCAAGTTAACATACGCCTCACATTAAAGACTAGCTTTTGCCTAGCGCTTGTATCATAAGTAAGAATCATCGGTTCATCGGTTATCATAAGTAAGAAGTACTTAGTGATAATATACCTTTCTAACATTGAAAGAATTTTCAAAATCGGATCTTTATTACGGGCGATTACCACGAACAAACAAACTCACAAACTTTACCTCTTTCTACGATTAGTACAGATGAAAAAGTGATAGGTACGTTATTTAAATTCACCATCTACTTGTCCTAATTTTTGTGCTCATTTTAGTAGTATCAAGAAAAAGAGCAGCTTTGTATCTACTCCTGTGTAATGTACTATGTGTAATGTATGTGTATGTAATATCTATGGGTTGGGTACGGAAGCGACTTAACCGCTTTGGCCTTTGAATCTAGAACTTCTGGTCTTGAGCTATCTGAAAATAAAAATAACCTGTTCATATTTCAGATAAGAAATCTTCAAATACGGGATACAATCAGCTCCCACTTCTTGCGACGCAGGTGTCGTCAACGGGAGTAACTACGATCGTTGGCGCTGCCGGCGTGCCTAAGACCGTTACCAAGCAAACCGTCATCTTGACATATCAACCTCAGCAGCTATCGTCACAGGTAATGTGTGAGCCATTTCACTATAACGTACAGCTACAACCAACTGGCCAATTTACTACTGCTAACTTATACTAGGCGGGTTTTCACCTCGTCGTTTCACGTCCGCGTGTGCCGGACGTCGCCTAAATAAAGAATGTGGTGCCCGCGCCGTTGTTGGCAGGCGCGCTAGGAGGGGTCTGGACGTCTTAATAACATCAGTTCCTGGATCCCTCCTATTCTTACAGGCGTAGAGTAGTTAGTCGTTCCAATTCCGCCACAAACCTCTGTGGGGTGGCGGCCTAAAGGGGTTCACACACGTAAAAAAAAAGGACTCGAGAAATGATGGGTTGCTCAAGAATGGGATCGTCATTTCTGATATTAGTCGATAACAGATTGACCATTTGACATAAATGATGTGCTCACCATGCAAGTGCCTATCGCGGTGATGATCCAACCACACCATATCGTGGTGTGGATGGTGACTCCTTCGTCTTCAGCCTGGGTTCCCCCTTTGGTTTTCCCCTATCGCGGTAACTAAGTAACAGTCAGCGTTAAGCTCCATCACAAGCTAAACTAATTGAGAACTAAACTCAGTGACCTAAGCTAAACTAAACTGTAGAAGCATCATTGATGAATCGGGGAAAAATAATAATATTATAGAATGATAAATTACCCAAATACAGGCGGATTTCTCTGAACCAAGATATCGAGCTGAACTGAAATCAAGCACGAGATGGATCTATATAACAACCATTTTTATATATAACACATATCGCACATTCTTGAGTTTGCTCAAACTATTAATGAAGGAACGTTGAGTAAATGTTTCAAAACATAATCTGTGTATTAATAAATTGGCCTCAGAAGCGGTAAATCGTATATCTCAATATAGTACCTACATAAAACATGAATGCTTCTTTGTTAAGAGTTGCAAAAAAATCCTTGAGGCGCAAGCACTCACAAGAATACGTAATGCTAAAGAATATCTGCAACTCGGGCTAATAACAAAGTGGACGCAACCTTTACAAAAATAATTAAGCATTAAACTGTGTTAGTTTATCTATTACCTGTGTTATTGGACTTGGACTGCACGGATGGCGTTGAGTGTTATGGGTTCGAGCCCCAAATGGGACGACACTTTGTTGATCCACAAATTGTCGTTCTGAGTCTGGGTGTTCTTAGTGTCCGTTTCATGTATGTTTGTAAAGTCACCCGCGACGCAGGATATATTCCTAGCGCGGAAGTTGTCTTTTAAAAAATATTTACTAAAATCAATGAAAACTGTTGTTAACATCTGTCTCTCCTCTCAACATAATAATTCTACATGGCAATAAACAGTAATCAACTTATACAGAAATCTGTAACGAAATATAAATAGTTCATAACTATCCTTCGACACGAACGATGGTCATGATTTGTTTTTACTTTAAGGGCTCTATGCCATCACAAGAGCAAAAGCCTCTTTAGATTCTCCTGTTTATAGAAAATGATTATTATAACTCAAGTGCATTAGTGATTACTTTTAGTCTTCTAATCTTAACAGAGAGATACTATAATGGCACATACATAGTTATGGCAATCAAACGATAATAAGTATTTCTACCAATTTTATTACACGAAACATTTCCCGACTTGCAGAAGTAAGATTTCCGTTTTGTTTATAAAATCACAGAAAGATAAGCTCTTATCAAAAAATACTTCTAAAATATTGTTCTAAATGTTATATTTAACGAGCAAAACAATCTTGTTATAATAACATAGCCGGCGGTGCGATAATTAGAGCACGACACGTAGAGAAATCACCTGCTCCTGTTTAAGCAATTAAAACTATTACTTAATTATGTAACTACGTCTGAATTGCATATTTAATGTGTGCATATGCAAAAATATTTAAATTTAAAATTAACATACTGCCGAAGTATTTCCATCTTACAAAAATATGTTGTCAATATCTGCTTCTTGTATATTATTGTCACCCAGCTCAGGATCGCCAGAGTTACTTCGCGCATGATATCTGCGAAAAACATATTATCAGTTAGTTTTAATCATATTATAAAGTAAGGAAGGACATATTTATTATCCAATAAGCAAAGAGAATTCAACAATCGTGCATGTTAAGCATCAGTAATCTTGTTATTGATTTTGTCAGAATCAGTGTGAATATGAAAAGTCTTGCTTATGACAAGGTTTAGGTTCTCGAAGCTCGTTATTTGCTTTCTGTAATACCTAATACCTATGTAAAGATTGTTGTTTATACACAGTGTACATCTTCCCTACCCTCAGCATGTATTCAGAAATGAAAATACTTATATCAACATATTTTTTCTATCAGGACGGTCGGCAAAAGAACGTGCGAATTGACCAAGCACCTGGTAGAGGAACATCCGCGTCACGAGTCCAACCGGAAGTTGCAAGACCTCCTGGGAAATATACCTTCCAGACCACACAGCTACCGAGACCGCAGTACCCTGCTGTCAAAAATATTGACGCTAAAACTACTAAACAGGTAACGTGATTGGTATAATTTTATTTAGTCTTTCGACTTTCGCATAGTAATAGTAAAAACATGCTCCAATCTATCTAACGCAGACAAGCTCAACTATGTGTAACCACTGATTTATATTTATGTATGAACTGGCTGTTGCCCGCAGCTCCGTCCGCGTTTATATCGATTATCGTGGTAAAAAGTCTATGTTACTCGCTGATAATGTAGCTTTCCATCTGTGAAAGAATTTAATCGGTTTAGTGGTTTAGGCGTGAAATCGTATCAAAGGAACAAACGAAATCACTCTCACATTTATATGTATAGAAGTATGGATGTATGCATCATTTAAACATCAACCATTGGTTCCTGATCCACCAGGCCAGATCATTATGTGTTGGAAGAACGTGACACCTATTCTTCTCCAGATATATAAATATTTAAACCCATTTTACCATAACCAATTATTATCGTTAAATAAAGCTATCAACGAAAATAAAAAAAAAACTAAGAAGATTTTTTGAAATCGGTCCATAATTGACGGAGTAATCGGTAAACATACATAAAAAAGAAATGTGAGTGGAACAGAGAACTTATTCCTTTTAAAGTCGGTTAAAAAGAGAAAAAGATTCGCTTGTAATCCTTAACAAGGTTTGCTAAAAAACAGTGTTGATGAAATAAATAATTTACTAACATAATAATTAAGTCTTCACTGTATTCGAGGTTATAAAACAGTTGAAACCGACTTATTAGTAAAAATAGCCTTATTTAATTATATTATAACAGGTTAGTCATTGGCTCCAAACTTCCTAATCCTAATTAAAGTATTATCAATGCGCGATTGAATTTGTTTGTTACGCTTTCACGCCTTAACTACATTTAATCGATCTAAACGAAATTTGTAATGTTGTTAGTGTTGTACTGTAACGTTACCAAAAAAAGTATCATTCCCGAGCTATTAAAAAAACTTCAACGTGGAAACTAGTGTAGGTACTAATTAATTAAATTAATGCAATTCCTGAAATCATTATCAACCAAAGATTACGATCGAAGCAAAAGTTAGTTATCACGGAAACATTAATAAATCATTTCTTATGTATCCTACTTCCAAACATGAAAAGACAAGTGGGTGATATTTCTTTATTTAAATTTTTTACTAAAGTATTCCGTAAATTACGCAAGAGTGTTAACAAGCGAGAAAGAACCGTATGTTGTTAAGGGTAAGGAGTATTTTCACTCGCTGAAGGAAATGGGTCACGAGTTGACTATTTCAGCCTTGTCGTGTAGGATGCCGGTCGCCGTATGCTTAAAATATAACCATTGCACCGTGCACCTAGCGTAGAGACAGATATACATGAGATTAGGCAACCGTGGCAATGTTATTTAAAAAAGAGATATACAGCGTATTTATTTCAGTAATGCGTGTTTTTGCTTTAAAAATAAGAATAACCTTCTTTGGATAGAGTTTGAAAACTTGGTTTCGATGTTTTCATTACATTATTTTTAAAGGAACATGTAACGTGTGTTATTCGAACTCATTACAAGGCGACTGAGTATATTTTGTTTTGCTAGTCAGTTTACAATTAAGTATGTGCCCCGAATGATAGTTTATTAATTGATAATAATTTAGGATACTTTAAGTTTAAATAAACACGTTCTTGTAGCAAGCCTTACTAACATGTAAAAAATATTTTTTGTTTGCCAAAAACGTGCTTTATACTATAATGTTACAACGATACGTAAAATAATATGTTTTGAAGTTGCTGAAAACTTGGTTTCGATGTTTTCATTACATTATTTTTAAAGGAACATGTAACGTGTGTTATTCGAACTCATTACAAGGCGACTGAGTATATTTTGTTTTGCTAGTCAGTTTACAATTAAGTATGTGCCCCGAATGATAGTTTATTAATTGATAATAATTTAGGATACTTTAAGTTTAAATAAACACGTTCTTGTAGCAAGCCTTACTAACATGTAAAAAATATTTTTTGTTTGCCAAAAACGTGCTTTATACTATAATGTTACAACGATACGTAAAATAATATGTTTTGAAGTTGCTGAAAACTTGGTTTCGATGTTTTCATTACATTATTTTTAAAGGAACATGTAACGTGTGTTATTCGAACTCATTACAAGGCGACTGAGTATATTTTGTTTTGCTAGTCAGTTTACAATTAAGTATGTGCCCCGAATGATAGTTTATTAATTGATAATAATTTAGGATACTTTAAGTTTAAATAAACACGTTCTTGTAGCAAGCCTTACTAACATGTAAAAAATATTTTTTGTTTGCCAAAAACGTGCTTTATACTATAATGTTACAACGATACGTAAAATAATATGTTTTGAAGTTGCTGAAAACTTGGTTTCGATGTTTTCATTACATTATTTTTAAAGGAACATGTAACGTGTGTTATTCGAACTCATTACAAGGCGACTGAGTATATTTTGTTTTGCTAGTCAGTTTACAATTAAGTATGTGCCCCGAATGATAGTTTATCAATTGATAATAATTTAGGATACTTTAAGTTTAAATAAACACGTTCTTGTAGCAAGCCTTACTAACATGTAAAAAATATTTTTTGTTTGCCAAAAACGTGCTTTATACTATAATGTTACAACAATACGTAAAATAATATGTTTTGAAGTTGCTGAAAACTACGTTGAAAGATTCCGTTACATGAACACATAGATAACGATTAGGACATACATATAAAACGTGGTAAAGGCGGCCAAGCTACCCGTAAAAGCTATTTTGCTATTAAGGTTAAATACATTTAAATTAGGCTAAATATTGAAAACTAGTTGTTTATCAATTTTTAACATACTAAAAATTACAACCTGCATCCTAGTCCTTAGTATAAGAGGTTTTGAACTTTACAATAACGTTCATGTACTTACGCATTTAAAACAGCGCAACTAGCGAAAAAAGAAAATGTATTATAGAGAAATATGGACTCGAACAACACTGTGTCTCTAACATAAATACTCCTACTGGGCTCCTACTTTAATTTTTTTATACTGTCTTTACTACATGCTATAGAGATCATTTTACAGATGTAGGTATGCCCTTTCCTTGTTAACTTCCAACCATGAAGTAAATTTCTCATAAAGATACCCTAACTGGATTTACACTACTTGCATAATTGATCAAAGTTAACACAGATATACACAATATACGCATACATACACAATGTATTTTGCAATATTGCATTTTAATGCCGAACTAATTATACGAACATTTTCCCCTCGTTCTAGACCGTGACAAGACGTGTGCTACAGACGTTTTATTATTCCTATTATAAATTTAAGTAAGAAATAGAATAATTCAATTTAATATCGCACTCGCTTGTTTGAAGAAAGTTAGAAATAAATCGTAAGATTTATTTCGTGTGGTTTTCCTCTCGTGTGCGCCGTAGACTATATTTTTAAAGTGTTCTAAGATCGTGAATACAGGCCATTTCGACATCTGTTACAGTAACATAGGGATCGGTCATTCACAGATATGCACTTCGTATAGGAAGACATGGTCAATAATTTTGTTTTTGTGTGTAGTGTGAAAGTGAAGTGAAAGTGATGAATCAATTTACTATGTTTAATCAACAGGTGGTGAATAGTACAAGGAAGTCGGGTGTGTCGGATGGATGGAGGGAAGGTAAGGAATTTTCTTGTTATTTGCAGACCAGCAATCACATTTATGCAATTTAAGTTAAGTAAGTACTCACAGTTTCCGAGAGGTTACTTAACTCAAACATAACTCACAAAGTCGGTGAGTTAGGGCTTTTTGTTAATCATTTTATCTTTTTCTTATTAAAGGACAATTACATACAAATATTGTTTATTTTCATTAATGGACCAAGTCTCGCTACAACTATATGAAGGTAACTAAACCTTTGCAAGATGTTTCGAAATGTATACAATTATTAATTAAAAATTTAAAACACAACCGACTCTAGTACACAGTCGATGATAAGAAAAGTCTGAGACCCGCGGTGTTACCCGCGTTTGTTGTTATAACCGCGGGCAATGCCGCGGAGCGAAGCTAGTCTAAAAAAAGTAGCCTAAGTTACTCCTTATGTCATCAGCTATCTGCCAGTGAAAGTCCCGTCCAAATCGGTCCAGCCGTTCCAGAGCTTACCCGGAACAAACAGACAGACAGACAAAATTTGTAAAAAAAAATATTTTGGCATATGTACCGTGTAAACATACATATGCATTTAGTAAAAAGCGGTTATTTTAATATTACAAACAGACACTCCAATTTTATTTATTTGTATAGATACCTAGCTAAGAACACTATAGATCAAGTAAAAGTTAAATTCAAAATCCAATAAACCGGACAGAGGCACGTTCAACCTACAACAAATCCGCATCTATTCATAGGGATTAAAAATTAGACCCGCCAACAGAACTTAATAGTAGATGCCATATTGCTTTGATGGTCATGACATCCTGCTCGAATCAAGAATTAAAGTTTATAATGATATATCAAGTATCAGACCACGTGTCAAAATTTGTACTTTCAAAGGCGTTAAAAACTAAAACAGCTTCAGAGGTCATTTGCACTTACTTTGTGGAGGCAACTTCGTTGTATGTATACCTGTCTATAACTTTAATTACTTATTTTTTGTTATTATATACAAATAAGTCGAATATATTATGTTTTCATATTATAGTAAATTATAATAGAGATACGATAAACCAAGTCGTCATAGGTTACGATAATATTAATTGAAGAATGAACAACATCATTTAATGAATAAATCACCTGGCTTGGTCAACTGGAACAGACACAGGTTTTTTTAACATACGCTGCACTTAAGACATACAGACGTATATCGACCATACATAGACGGGTGGGCAGAGCTGTATTAAACGCTCACATTTTAAAAACTATAGTTTTACGCAATAGGGGCAGCCTATTGCAGTTAACGAGGCACTTACACCTGGGAAAGTCTAATCGACCTATTGCTGTTTAATATAGACAGGTTTGTCCCAATGTGCTGTATGGCAACCACTCTCAACCTCCCATAAAAGTTTTCATAACCATCTTGTAGATGTTGCATTGAGAAATTCTTCAATCAATTTAAAAAAAAACGCACGAAGGATTGTTTATCGTAAATGCCATAGATTCTTTTAATAGCAGCAAATAATAAACTTTTATTATGAAATTAAAACCGATTATATTATGATAAGTGGTGCTACTAGAATAAATTTTTATTCTTGTTTTTTAAATTTCAAAGTCAAAGCAACGATTTTATTTTTTATTTTTATACACATGCACCTCGTTTATCGTATACTTCGTAATACGTTCATATTCTGTTGTTTTGAAGCCTACCTTGAATAAATTTAAAACATTCTTGCGTATCTAACAAACGTGTGTTGTTCCTCCAATGTAGAATAAATCAGCAAACCCTTTGGTCTATTTCAGAAAAATATATTGTCCATGAAATGTTATTTAATCATTTCGTATTTTAGGGGAAATAATACCAAACATTTGTAAAGTATTTATTACTTTCTTTAATTCAAAACTGTATACGGTGTTAATCAAAGTATTAGTATTTAGATACCTATTTATATACCTACCTATTAATTCACGCTGCTTTCGTTTAATCTGGTTTAATCTTTTTTGTGCAACGTGAAATAAATGTTTGCCGTTTGAAACAGTTCCAATTCCACATCTGAAATTTAAAAAAATGCGACTCGTATATTAATTAATTTCACTTGTCGATATTCTACGTTAAATCTATTTTTTTAATTTCTATCTATTCTTTTATGTCTTAAAAACAAATAGGTACTATACAGTATTCGTTTTCCTTTAAATAATGTGAAGTTTCATTTAAGAAGGGGGGGGGGGAGATTGAGTCTTTTGTTCGTGTGTGCATTTAAAAAAAAACAGCCAGACAGAAAAGGTGTAAGCCAATGTTTATAGTGGGTGCACTACACAAATACGAAAAACTTTATTCCGTCAATCACAAATACGAATTCCAAAAAACTGATTTTCATTATTCCGAAGGGTTGAAAATTCCTAATATGTATAACAACTCCGATTGATAATTCATCCTATTTTTATAATACAAAAAAATCAATATTCCTAACGTTTATAATTGTTATACTCAAAATACCCAGTTTCAATAGATCGAATAACAATTGTACCCGACCCTTTTTCCAATAAGGAGAAGAAGAAAACACAAAAAAAATAACAAAGTTTTTAAATTACATGAAACATTACTTATAGCCTTTTTTACTCAATTATTATTCAGTTATTCAATATTAATTACTGAATATTGAGTTACTGAATCAGAATCTTAATTTCAGCAGTTTATTCGAAGAATGAAAATCGGAATGTCGTTTTTCGGACCGAGAACTCATCGAGCATTAGATCCTTCTAACGTATAAAAATCGGAAAACAAACATCGCATTTACGAGTTTCGGTAAAAAAAAAATTGTACATTTTAATAATAGACATTATAATTCTTAGGTATTATGAAATTCGGACTTTTGAAAATCGTAACATCGGAATTCGTAATAAAATATTTCAGAGTATTTGAGTGTTCCCGTTTATAGTATTATTATATTTGGTGACATCTGCAATTCACAGTTACATTATACAAAAGGTAGAAGAGATTTTTACCTATTCCGACGAACCTTGAAATGGTTTTAAATTCTAAATATGTGCTGTAATTACAGGAGCAGCGTCAGCAGTTTCCACAGATTCCGGTGTGTGGACTGGTGGTGAAGGCGTAGCGGGTGAGGGCTCCCCACGTGCTCGGCGACGTCCACGCAACTTGGAAATGGTCATGCGCACCGCGCACAGTTTCCATCTTAGAGAGCTCCAAGTTGCTGATTTAGACATAATGGGTACGACAATTCATACTACTAAATACCATTATTACAATTATTAAGGCAATGAAGTACATAAAAATTAACACAGATCATGGAGTTAGTACTTTGAACTTCAAACAATTTGTTAAAAATGTGAACCTTGGGTAAGGTCTAATACCAGCAGTGGAATGCGATAGGCTGATGATGATGATGGAAATGATGACTGTCACGTCACAAATACTGAGCCGACTACGACGCGGTCTAGGTATTGCAGGGTATTAAGTTAATCAACCTTAGTACAGAAACATTACACCACGGTTTAACGATAAATACGGCTTAATGACGTGGAGTCGGTAGAATATACTTACAAACGGTACCTCCGCATTCTGGGACACGACACGGAGTGTCTCCACACTCCGGTCGTGTCCCAACAACAGAATCACCAAATGTAATCAGTTGAGGCCTATTTTTAAGTAGGCGCACTGTGACACTTTAAATTGTTAGGGCATGCATGTATCTATTGCACATTAAGGTTCTGAGCCTGAATTCAACACATTGACAATGGGATTCAGATACCTCTACTCGTTAGGCCTCTGTACCATTAAAAACACTTCTAAGCTCATATTAAAAACTTACGTCTACATTATTGTGACATTGAGATGCATTCAATAATGTTAGTGGCATAATAAATGTCAATATGCAGGCAAATAAGAAAAATACTATATTCAGTCCCTATCATACTCTTATGCCTCCATACGTATAACAATAGATAACATCATAAATAAATCTTAATAAATGAAGTCATTGCCTATGATGTTTAGAAAAACAAATATAAATGTCTTGCTATAGATATATAGAATAAATACATATAAAAATAATAACCTGACACATCTCACACACTGTCGTCTAATCTTAAACTAGGCAGATCCTATACTATACTAACCAAACTGCTAATAAGCATACTTATTTATTACTAAAAACATACACAATATAGATAAATTACACTCAAACATGGAACAAATGATCGTACTCATCACACAATTATTTGTCGTGAGTGGGAATCAGGTTTGGCAGTCAGGAATACTAACCACTATTGAAACAGCCCATCACATCAGAATTTGTCCTGAAGAAACTACTAAAAACTATAATCAACGAGCATTTTTTGTGACCTATAGATGAAGCTGTAGTGACCGGTCATGCAGTAATTCCTCTACCAAAGCTACCAAGTTCCTTCGACGACGAGCTAAGTCCTGAGTATGAGGTGACACCGGTACCGACCTACAAACCACCATCACCCTTGCTGCCCAAAACATCGCCAGTGACTGAGTCGCAGAGACAAGCCTCTCCTATGTCGACGTTGGAGAGATACAGGAATAGGAACCGACCTACGTTGATACAAACGAACATGGATGAGGAAAAGTTTGTGCTGGATAGGTCACAACCTGAGAAACTTAACAAGCAGGTGCGTTTAAGATAATAACCTAAGATATCTTTAATGATTCTTGACTTTGGAAGATAAATAATTTCTCCGTTTGCTAAACGGTGTATGTCACCAAAAAAGTTTTAATATGATTTACAAATTTATAACAGATAATTATCTTTCGTATAAGATAAGACGTAAGACAGGCAGTATAATATATTTACAACTTGCAGAACTCCTTCGTGAAGTCATCAAGCGGAGTGGTGTCGCCAACAACTTTGAATTCGAGCAAGGAGTCTAGTCCATCATGCAAGAGTGAGGAGAGTCACTTTGGCAACAGCAGTGCTTGGCAAAGCCACGCCGCAGGAGAAGCTATGGCTACAAGGTATATACTTTTACCTCTAAGATATATAAGGGTATATGTCGTAATACGATAGCAGGTTTCGTAGAATTGGTCACTTTATTATGTGTCCAATTGACGATTGGAACAATCTGATGGAAATGGAAGTTTGGAGTAAATTTATAATTGAACGATGACGATGTTTCAAGTAAAGTACTGATTAAACTTTTGCGGTCTATTCCTGTCTTAACTTCCAATTGTGTAGGTATTATAAGAGTATCCTAGTTCCGTATAGTCGTAAAATAAGGTACTAAACACATTTTGGGTAAGTTTTATGTCCTAAATACAAATTTCGAATTTTAAAATAGTTCTGAATGCGGGTTTGTCCAGTGTGAGGATTAGTATTTACTAGTAGTCAGTCATTCATTCTCATTTCCTCTCCGTTTTGGTGAAAAATATCGTTTTATTCAGATTACTTGAATACATTCATAGATTCTTTTTAACAAAAACTGTGTTTACCGTAATGTAAGATATAAATAAAAGAAAATAGCAGTCAAGGATATTGCAAAGAATTAAGTATTTAAACCCGTTATGCACTGCATACTGGGTCCGGTGATATGCAAGTTTTTGGCTAGCGTTAATGCTATGTGAAAGCTATCAGGCGTTTAAGCCGTTAATGGAGGTCGTTCAAAAAGTAAATAACTCTCACATTCCTAATACTTATGAATATTACCAACGATATTCGACTTACCTATTTCTTAGTATTATTATTGCTATGGGATTGAACTAACATGTCAATTTACGGTAATCATCAGCCCTTAATAATGCACTGCTGGACATAGGCCTCTCTACAGAAAGGAGGTTTTGGCCTGCTACACCACGGGTTTGAATAGGGTTTGTGTCAAGTACTCGTATTCCTTCTCTTTGCAGTGCTGTTGTCCTGCGTAGTTCGGTCCCTTAGTCGTCTTTTACTGTCGTAACTGTGTAACAAGTGTCACCACTCCTATACCCCTATTATAGGGGTGATGACACTCCGTATTCTTAATCCGTCACCACACAGTACCGCTTTGCGGTACACACAACAATTTGTTTCAAAATATAATATTATAAATGTTTCTGTTTCTTAAATATACATTTTTTGTTAACGATATGTATAAATAGTCAGGTTGTAGTAGGACTTATTTTTCCTTAACCACAGGGACATAAGAATTATAAAATATAGCTGCAATACCTAAATATAAATTTCAACAGATCACAAGACGATGTGTCCTTAGCGCTAAGCGTATCGAGCTGTGAGGACGAAAAATCTAAACTAGTAGACAACAAAGAACCACCGAATATAATGGAGCAGAAAATACCGCAGAAGACCATCGTGATCGTAGACGAGCCTCCTGTGCCCCATCCACTGCTCATGAAGTCGCTTACCTTAAGCCAGCATGATTCACTACGTGGGACTATGATGGGTAAGCAAAATCAAAAGTATATTATATCTTTTACCTTCGGACTAGGCATCGAGTTCTATCGAGTGCTCGAGACTCCAATAGTTTTTATATTATATTTATATATTATTTTACTTTATATTACAGTTCGTATTAGGAAAAAGCAACAGTCCCATATTACCCGGAAATATTGTATAATAATGTAATATGCTGATAAATTGTTTTGCCTAACTTGTGAGTCAGACAAACTATCTACCAATTTTTGCTTCGTAATAAAAGAACACGGAAGGGATCGTAAAATTTACTCTGTTACGAGTCTAAAATACTGAAGTCAATGTAACTAATAATAAATGTAAATGAAAGTCGAGTTACTTATAATTCAAATGCACCTAGCTAATCCTTCAAACGCAAATGTTTGTTAATATTTTTTGCTCTAATGTTTTTAATACAACCTTTATTGAACAGCTAATTTCCCGTCGTTTAAAAAACTATCAATAATAAATACTTCTTTATAAACAAGAAGTCTAATCAACAAATCATTTCTTTAATTAATTAAACGTGAAAACTGACGGTTGAGAGATTAATAAGATGCAGAGAGTTTTCAGCTGAATTGTAACTTTTATAAAACAGCCATCTTTTTCACAGGTTCAATGACAAGTTCAAACTACAGTACGACAAGTACCTGCACAAACCAGAGCGGAGACCATCACAACTTAACCCTCACACTCGAAGAATCAAAGTTCGACATGTCCGCTCTTGAAACTTCTACACAAAGCATGTTGGATGATGAGACATCACCAGCCGACAGCTTAATATCATCCACTAGTGCCAGTGATTCGAATAATGAATTGCAAGTGGAAAGAGACGCACCGTCGATAAGCTCTGCCTACCAAACGGCGAATACTAAAACCAGATCACCGGAACCAGTTGTTGAAGATCACGATGCTGTTGATAGTGAAGTATTGCAACCTGTTAAGGAAATCATGTGAGTATCTTTGTTTCTAAATAGCAGTGACCCTTTTTCTTGCATTTAATCTGGCACAAACAGGCTCAAGCCAATTTTCTTCTGCTTTATTTCATTGTAGCAATGAAATGCAATTGTAGCTATAGTTTTCCATAGGGGTCAAAATGTTTCTTTAAAAATTCTACCAACATTCTATCTAACATTGCACTTTGGTGTTTACGTCTTGGTCATGATTGGATTTTTTTTTACCTTAAAATACAATTCATTAGTACGGGGAATAAAAATGTACTAAATAAAAAAAGGATTACTTTAGATGAACATATACGATTGTGGTTGCGAATGATTTATACTTGAAACAACATTAGAAGACGTCACTAATGAGGTGATGATTTTAACCGATAGTAATTATGAACTTAATCATCTAACATATCCATCCAAATATACCTATAACCTAACAACCTTTAACCCACCGCTTTGGATCTCATATTGATATTAACTAATCTTTCTAGCACCTCACCAAGGATCGGTCAGAAAGATAGTAAGAATCCTAGTCCTGAATCTCCTGGAACTCCAACACATGCATCTGGCTCCCTCTCGTTGTCTGATGGACGGGACTTCTTTGACGACGAGATAGCTGACCAACCAGCATTGTTGTTCAGAAGTAAGTTTTATTTAGGTGGTTGGTTGAAAAATAAAATGTTTTTAAGTTCTCTCATCATCATCAAGCCTTTAGCAGTCTGTGGACTGCTTGATTGATTGTCTTGATCAAGCCTTTGGCAGTCAACAGACTGCTAAAGGCTTGATGATGGACGGAGATAGGCCTCTCCTTGGAAAGGAAGTTGGATGAGTAGGGGTGGTCCACACGGACTTTTTACCACTCGGTTTAATGTATATTACTGAAATAGTTTTCTGTGTAGTTCTCCCTACCCTAATCATGTTTCATATTCTAGTTTATATCAACTGTCAAAAACTACTTATTTCTTAACTGCAAACACACAAATAAACTAAAATCCATTTTAGGTTAAAAGAAAATAGGCTGTTTTGTCTAGCTTAAGATGGTAATCATTTGAATTAATTCAATCTATGACATTATTGTAAAGTTTTTGATAAATATTTAATAAAAGAAGTGAGGTTTATTTATTATACAAACTATCATTTACTGTTTTAGAAAATACAGAAGATGGCAGCCCATCTAGTAAAGTAGAATCAGAAGCAAGCAAGCACTTGCGTCGATCAAGAGAACGACTGACGTCCAGCCCCCTCGTTCAAAGGAATCGCAAATGTAAGTTTTTAAATAATTAAACGTTTTGTATCTTCCATATTAAAACATGTTGCATTTAACCAGTAAAGAATAATAAGTAATAGATATTAATCTGAAGTATAAAATAATTAAAAATATATACGTACAACAATATCATCAACGAACATTGAAGGTTGATATAATGTACATATTATTAAATAATAATATAACCTATTTAATGGTTATGTAGGTAATAGCCGAAAATATTCTATCCCACTGTCATTCCAATTTTAAATTGTCGGAAAAAAGCGGGAAATATTTAAAATATATATTTTTTTAAATAATTCCCGCCAAATCGATTTTTGTGTTCTTTTCTTATGAACTTTTATAGCCACGTCTTTTTTGCTTTCATTTAGTGTGCAGTTTACGAAATGGTGGTGCTGAGAGGACGCCGTCACTAGATACGCTCTCTAGTCTGGCGTCAGATGATCTCATGATGGAGAATGATCTAGGACAATCCATTACTAGTCTTCAAAGTGTTGATGATTACATTGAGAGGTAAACTTCTACTTGTATTCAAATAATAATAAAAATATTTAATTTTAGATATATTACTGAAATGAAGTTTTACAATAACATTACCTACCTGGTAATGTTATTGTTTATGCTTTATCAACTTAACTCTCACAATTTAGTCTCTCACATATGGAGGCGTTATTGTTTTACACTGACCTAGTAGGTACAGAAACCAATCTCTCGCACAGATTATCGTTTTCTTGAATTGTATGTCTTGACTATAACTGATTTCTGTAACTTTTTGTATGAGATAAGAAATAAATTATTTATTATTTTCAATTTCATATTTATCCAGATAGGTAGGTAATTTGAGCTTGAACGAGTGTATAGTAACATAAGTGGTCTAATTTATTTTCTTAATAATTAATTTAAAACTATACTATATATATTCAAAAAATCACTGATTTCATTTCTGCGTGATGAGAACTCACACTCGTGTAACAACAACACACAATACAAAATAAAATTGCTATTCATGGCAGATTGAATCGCTTTAGAAAAATGTTCACAAATGGTTATTATCTCCATCATACAAATATCGAGTTGATTCAATGAATGAAGCAAATAATTCTTTTGTCTTTTACCAATGTTGATGATTCCATAATCAGAATATGTGGTATTTGTACGATCTTAGTTCCGTTTAGAACAAGCTAATATTTTCTAAGGTACCTACAATGAAATCCTTCCTGTCATACCTGCGTATTGCCTATAAAACACAAAACTTGTTGAGTTGAGTAGATGTCTATAAGCGGCAAGGCACTTATCATAAGGTCTCGTCTGTTTGTTTGCCCCCTAATTTTTTTTTTTTTAAACTCGTTTTAGGTGAAACTTTTGCATTTTTCATTATAAAAATATACAGCACCTACCCATACACTATTGATTACCAAAAATACTGTAATCGATTGTCAAAGTGATGTTATTATATACTAGCACAGATACCATCATATCACACTATTAATAATCAAATATATAATGTCAATACCAAATCAAAATATCTTAATAAATATTGTAGAAAAATGTTATTTATTTTCTTAGGTTGGACAGCTCCCTCCGTAGTGGCCTCAATTCTCTAGATGAGAGGCAGCTTCGCCAGGAACTATCCTCTTCAAAAAATGCAGTGAGACAATGGAGCCAGCTGTTAGAACAAAACAACATGCTGGACCGTCAACTTGCGGCTATGGCGCAAGGGAAACAAGACTCGCTTACAGCCAGCAATAATAGTCTTTCTAACATCGGGTAAGTGATAGTATAAGATCTCCTTAGGATAAATGCTTGCAATCGTGGAAAATTGACAAGACAAGTAAAAAGCTTTCGGTCTGCAAGAATGGAGAGATTACATTTGATTATACAACACCACATCACGGCCAAGAAAATGAGAAAAGAAAGTATATACGAGTAAAATTGTAGTGGGAAGTCAATAAAATACTCCGAAAAGGTTCTTTTAATACAAAAAATATTTATAGTCATGTGAAATCTAAAAATGGAACTAAATAGTGTGTGAAAAAGTTACCAGTCTTCATTTATTTTGAAGAGGTATCTGACGGTACCGAGTACAGACGACTGATAATATCTAGTGACGGCTTCAAGACACTTTTATAGTGTTTCTGGCTTCTAAATATTATAGCCAGTACCTTAAAGGTTTATATTGTTTTTTTTATGTTTAGGGCACTGCCATGTGATCTTTAGTCTAGGTGAAAACATATTGTAATAGAACTCTTGGAGATGGGGCAATTAAAATTTGGCATTTTAGAGCTACAATAAATGGTTCTTTCCTAGCGAGGGACGGACACACATTCCTTTCTCCGTTCGGGTCATTAGATTTTATTTTAATGCAAATATTACACGAAATAATTTTAGTTGTGATGTTATGATACAAAGAATTGCCAATTTATATAATAAAAAATATGATAGTAAATGTCTTGGTTAATGCTGGATATAAACAATAATACAGTCCAGTACCTTTATAATACAGGCTGTATCTCCCTCTTGTGTTTATCCAATTTGCATGAAGTTAGTAACACAAATTTAATTACTTCCTTAATGTTAATACTAGATTTAAAATACCACTAGTATTAGCTTATACATATCTGAACTTTCCTTACTCGCTAAACTACCAATTTCTAAAGTTTCATCACCGACTGTAATATAAATTAATTACATTATGTAAAAATTATCTAAATCATTGCACATGGAACAACTTAGGTACATCGATTATATGTGTAAACCTAACTATTGTGTTCATCTATGTATTGTGTATGTGTTGGCTAGTTCGGCTCTTTGAAAGCAAACTTAGTTTAGCATAATCTTGCAATGTTACGTTCAGTTTAAGGATGACCTTAACCGCTCTGTCTAACCTGGAGCCTAGATTTTGTTTTAACTAAGCAACTTTATTTAATCTTTACAGCAAAAATACTCGTATAATTAAAAATAATTAGTGTCTAGTACATAATGGTCAATATAAATTAATGTTAAGTCTGCCTAACAAAGCTATTTTCTCATGTGAGATCTGCATTTGGTAATTAAGATAAGCAAAAACAACACATACACGCATACAATAATTTATTATACTCACTTTAAACAATTTCCTTACTGTTCCACTCCATTGGATCCTATTTAGCGTCTTATTATATAGTAGTATACTATTTAATGCATATCACTATAAACTATGTACAAAATTTGGAGGCATATAATCGATATCCGTAACCTTATTCGTCGGACTGCACGAATGGCGTTGTTGTTAAAGCGGTCGCCTCGCCGCTTCCTAAAGCGCTGAGTGTTGTGGGTTCGATCCCCACATAGGACAATAGATTGTGTTATTCACATTGATGTTTTGAGTCTGGGCGTTCTTTGTGTCCCTTTCATGTATGTTTATAAAATCGCCCCCTAAACAGGATATATTCCTAGTGTTGATATTTTATTTAAAAAATGTGCATATTAGGTACGACTTGTAAAAATATTTGCAAATATTTTCTAACAGAAATTAATATCATTACTTTTCATCATTTTATTTCACAGTATATATACTTATATTTTTATATTTACCAGTATAAAAAGAGGAGTAAAGTTCTAAAATACTTTTCTTATTTCCAAATACTCTTATACTCGAAAAGCTAAAGTGACTAGCCTAATAAGTTAATAGCATCGCATGACACAACAGTTAATTGCATATCAGTGAAGTGCATAAAGTATAGTAAAGTGCATATCACGCCGGTCGCGCAATGTAGCGTTATGGGGTTTATTACTAACCGTTCTCAACGAGTTACAACTGCATCTAAGTTTTTCTTTCTACGGATACAAATATTTTGTACGAAATTTCAAAGTAGGAACATTTTATAAGTTGGCGAATGTTACTCTAGATTTAACAAAGCTAACTGGGTTATAATAGTTTTCCTGCTAAATTCAATTATTTAGCTTACAATTTTATGTAGCTCCCCCTCAATGTTTTAAATATCTATCTAATGATCTATTTACCACCCTTATTCACACCGTGGATGTCGTAAGAGCCGACTAAGGGAAAGCAAACTACGCAGGTCAACAGCACTGCAAGGAGAAGAAAAACTTGAAACGAACCCTATGGCCAGTGTGTTATCGTAGGCCAAAACCTCGTTTATAAGCAAAGGGCTATGTCCAGCAGTGGACTATTATAGACTGTTGATGATCATGATGATGATGAAGGTTGTTCATAATGATAATGATGATGAAGGTTCGAACCCGTCTGGCCAGCGTGGTATAGTAGGCCAAAACCTCCTTTCTAAGGAAAGGCTTATGTCCAGCAGTGGACTATTATAGACTGTTAATGATCATGATGAAACCGAAATAGGTAAATTCATTGCCGCAATGCATTGTAGTCGTACAACATGACAACCGCGACACGGATTTTACTATGTGGTCTTCCTATGATTGACACAAGGCATAGAACAATAACACAATAACACAAACTTCGCGAACACAATTCATAAGAACAATAACACAAACTTCGCGATGTAAATGTTTTACAGTGACCACAACTTTTTGTAGTATGTTTTTTTTTGCCCAATGATCGTTTTCGGTCTTTGAGCGCATTTAATATATAACAGTATCGGGTTTTATATCGCAACGAATAATAATATACGAGTATGATTCTGTTTACTCAGTTTCTATTCAAAAGTGATTTTATTGAATGTATTGTTCCTGTTTATAATAGAAAGACAATAGAATAAATACCGCATTGACAACTGTTGACATCGGCACCGGGACAGAGGCGATGATTTAGAGTTCAATTAACAATACGAGATAAAGATGTTCATGTCGTGTAGAATGTCATGAGCATTTCTGCTACGAATTATTATTTTCTGGTTTACTTTATACTATTATTCTCAATCTCATTCAATAAAATACAATGAACAATACCTATTACTTCGACACTAAGTATGTGAGAAATTGAAACGCTGTCAAACATAAGCATATCATACACGATCATCTACAGCATAAACGTGGTATTTATTTCGCAATGTAAAAGGTACGTGACTTAACATTAAAATGCTAGATTATGGAAACATGATTGTTAACGATGCTCAAAAATATCCAATAATATCTAAGTCAAAGTACCCTAGAACACAACAAACCATTTCAAAGATTCTTGCTGAAAAAGATGTTGAGGGTATCTCAAAAATCTTTTCACATAAAACGTCTGTACACTAACTCGTTCTTTAACACAACTGCGTCTTTTCTCTAATATATGCATGTACTTTAATAAGCTCTCGTTTACAAGCATTAACTAGTCTAAAAATACACGCATATTTGAGATACGAGAGGGAGCAATCACTTCAAACTGGCGCCTCTATACTTTAGATAATTGCAGGCTTCTACTCGTATGTAAGGAACTATTAGTTTCATTTATCAATTCATTCTTTTTTCGGGTTTAATTATAAGGTACTTTATACATGAACGTGACGATTTATTCTCACAAAAGTTATGAATTGGTTTTGCTAGATGGTTCCTTAAAACCTTATTATTGTGTTATTGTTATTTTGTCCTCATTTGCTATTCACATCTGTATAAGAATGCCATTATTTCTTCGATTGGTCACGTTTACATATACCTAAGTAGTTCTTTTTTTTGAAACCAGAATTGTTATTTTCTAGGTCACATTGATATTTCTTAAACTAGAATATTTTAAACTCAATCGGAAGTGCATTGTATTGATTGCTTCTCTGAAGTAACATAGGCAATTGATGTACATTACGGTGCTTATTTACCTATGTAAAACATTTGCGCAAGTGCTAAAGAACCGTTCCAGTTCCAATTATCTGATTAATTGTGTGGGTATATGTTTGACCTCCATGCGCTCACGCCGCTCCACGACATAACAATAGCTATTTAGTACGACAATGGAAAATTGTTTCCTTGCATTTTGCAGCTGCGGCTTAGCAGTGTTCCTTTGGGAATCGATAGAACATATTCACAGATTTGTCGGCATTTAACGGATCCTGTTTTTCCAATTCCTAAAAATAATCGATCTCTTTGCTACATACAATCACCATTTCTTTTAAAGCAGAACAAAAAATCATATCTTCGAAAAGCGACTCTATTTCGCAATAAACTCGCTTTGCTGCCATCGATTTTCAAGGTAGATTTTACGGCGAAGTTTGTGTGTCGAAAGGTCCTTGCTCCATGAGGTAATCAGATAAAGTAGCTAGCAGGCGTGCAGCTGTCGGGGCTTCGGAGCTTGGTTACCTCGGTTCATCTCGGCTTGTTTGCGTCGACCCGCGTGCCGGCAACCCGATAGGATGTTAGTCTGCAACTTGTCGCGCTTGCGAACGTACGTAGCCGGCACGCAGCACGACCACGACACGTGCCGGTATCATCTCGCGCACGGTGTGTATACGATCGGATCGAGATTATTACTAACCGATATCGAACACGCGGGTCATTGAACGATCGTAATTTGTTTAATGTGCAGCTGCTAGTTTACAGCAACTTCCATGTTTACATTCGTTTTAATTGAGTTTGTGTCCATAACAATCCCAGCAACGGCTTCCGAGGGTGGTAATTCTTTACGTGTAGAGTGACTCTCGGTAATGCGTATAATTGAATTAAATTCTTAATACCTAGAGACCACTACGTATCTAGGGAATTCTAGTAGAAACTATTATAGATCAATTTTATTCTAGCTACTATAAATTGACTTCAAACATTTATGAAGCAGGCACCATCTTTAATGAAAAAGGCAAATGTATTCATTGTAGTCCTTCATCCTGA